ATCTTCAAAACCATGTGACGCTTAATTCAAATGAGATACATTCCTATGCCACAGTCTGCCAACATATTTAAATAGCTTCTTAAGTCAGCTCTAAGACAGGAGAAATTATTAAGCGTTAGTTTTAGGAAATGAAATGAATAATACCCTTTCCTTCCAATCTAGTATCTTACATAGAACTGATGAGGTTGAACCTATTTTTATGAGGCATGTTTGAGGATGTTTGGCAGGTCACCTCATAGATTAATAAGTACATGAAGATGCAGCTTTTAAATGTTGATCCCAGTTGGCAAGGTGCTAACAATATATGTAAGAAAATGTTACTCTGACACCACTAGAGGGTACTAAGAGATACATCAAAGGTGTGAAGGGACCGTTACAAAAATATACTTGATTTCTACAGTTTGTCCCATTTTTTTACCCAAGTGATTAATTAGTGTAACTCATCAATTTGACCTCAGGGATCCTGTTCACCCATATGCTAGGCAGAACTCCACCCTTCTAGGTAGAAGGAAGACTTATTACACCTTCAACTCACCTCTGTCTGCTTTCTCCTCATTCGTCATCAAAAAGTTAACACTATTTTTTAAGGTAAAATTAAATTACTCGTTTTCGTATCTTAAAACTTTGACAGCATGTCTCCCACTGCCTCCTCCCATGTTTTCCCTCCTTTTCTATTAGATTTTCCTTCTGCAGCACATTATTACACAGAAGGCGAATACTGAGGGTACCGTCTTGAAGGACACGAAAAGCTTTTCTGCTTTTTCCATGTTTTTTAGGGGAAACACATTATGCTTTTTATTTTTCGAAAAGGTCACTAACACATAGGTATGTGAACCTGTTCCCAGAGAATGGATCAGTTTATGACAAAACATCCATTTCTTTGAGCAGACGGTGGCGACATAAGCCCTGGAAACATGGTAAAGCCTCACCAGGAAGCACTAATTACTGGTCTCTGGGGTCCTAGATAGATAATGGGATATCTTGTCTTCTTCAGCGTGCTTGGTTTCCTAGTGAGATCATTAAGAGACCGTTCCCATTGGGCTCTTCCATGTGTCTTTCATTACACCCATCACTGAGGTTCTGGGTTCTCAGGACCACCCTTTCCTACTGTATCTGCCCCCTGAAACAATTTCAAGTCAAGGACCTTATTCTGTTTCTTTCGCTAGAGTCCATTTGGAATTTGGAAAAAGAGCCATGACCAAAACACCAATGGAAAACAACATACTCTATCCCAGAAACAAGGCCAATGGTGGATTTAAGAGTTTGGTATCTCTATTATATTTTCTAGAATTAAACTAAAAAGAAAGCTTTCGACAAAATATGAAAAGGAGTCTGCTGGCCTTCAGATTTTTTTCTTCATCATATAATTATTCAAACTAAATAAATAGATAGAGCTTAGAAATATTAAAGCATAATGATTTTACATGAAAAAGAGAGTTCCTTTTCCATCAGCATACATAGTTTATTGAGGCCGTAATGGCACTGGTAATATGCTTCAGGGGCAAATGTTTCTTTAATAAAATGGTCAATTCTGAGTCCTGGAAAAGATCTGATGAGCAAACAGTTTTTATGATGTTTGGGCTATGATAATTACAAAGGTTTCTGCAGACAGTCATGGAAGTCAACGAACAATTTCTGGCTGGTCTGCAAGGGCCATAGAGCAAGTTTGGGAAGCGCAGGACGAAGCATCAAACATTAACTCATGGAAAGCTTTATAAAATGCCCTGGCTTCCTGACTGCCCCACAATGAGCATAAATTGTCCCACAACAATTGAAACAGATGTTTCCACTTTGCAAATATTTGCCAGAGAAATAAAGGTTTCATTTTCCAACCTATCCTTGAGCTGTTAAGACACTATGATAAATCAAGAATTTATATGCTGAAATGTATAATTTATTTGGAACCAGTGTGCCAGTAATGTTGCAAGCCACCAACTCAGCTGTTCTGACTGGAAAACATCACACTTATTTCCTGTAAATATGTGGCTCACTTTATAATTATTACATGTCAAAGGGTGTCTGACAAAATTTGAAAAGGCTACTTCCAATCTCACTATCATAAAGATATCATCACTAGGCAACATGGAGCTGATTTCATTTATTTTAGACTCCTACTTATTATTCTGTCCCTTTCTTCAACTTATGGGAGAAACTAATAGCGACAAATAATAACTTCCTCTGTGTTTTAGGGGGAAAAAATCACTGAATAACGTTCCTAAGAGAAATGAGCAGATTGCTTCCTCAATCTATGTTTGGCTCTCATATCGAACCAATGGGAACATCGATATTTTAATTAAATTAAATTTGATACAAAATAGTCTTCTCGTTCTAGTGTAGATGACTGACCATAGTATAGCTCCAAAGTTGCAAACCATTTTAATTCAATGGCTATTTATAAGGTTCTCCCCATGGATTGTTTGAGAAAGATTCTTTTACTATTGGAAGGGGGAGCACCTACAAATGCTGAATGAAAATAAAATTTCAATGTTAACTTGTTTCCTGTAAGGAAATGTTTGTGCTTCAAACATGTGATAGCAGATGTTAGTCCTGTCTTTCTGCCAAACTCAAATTAAGCTCTTTTAACAACTTCATATAGCACGTCTACTTTCATTTTTTTTTTTTCAATCAGCCCTGTTGTTCAATTGAATCTAAGTCACTTCAGTTTGTTATTCCTCGTGCAGCTGCATTTAAATGATGAAACTGCATTTATCTAGCCAACCTTAACCTCTACAAAGCTAGTTTGGACGAGGTCTGTCCATTGAAGTCAGCCGTTGTTAAAAAGGCACAAAACCCAAAGTACATTTTTACATTGGGAAATAAAAAAAACACTATATAGGAGGAAAAAAAACTAGTAAATTACATTGCCACACTGCAATTTTTCTTTTTAACCCTGAGGTTAACAATGACAAGATCCTCGCTGACCAAGATGGTGTGTTACATGTTTGTATGCCTGGCAAGGCGTAGCAGAGTATCTTACAGATGTATAAAAAGTGGGTAGACACATATATGGCTTCAGAGTAAAGAGTATTTTATCTATGGTCATTAAAAAAAAAATCACTATCATTTCATTGTATCATTCTAGAAATACTCAGAAAAGCTAGCATTTTATATCACTTTACTCCATGTTAATAGTCAAACCAAAAAGCAGTTGCTCTGCAATGGCTGTGGGGAAGGGAAGGTCACGGGCAGGTGCACCTTGAGGGCAACCCTAAACGAGGTCAAAGTGCACAGCTGAGCCCGTGCTGTGAGCCTGCACTTCTCAGACAAGTGCGTTTCACCCTGGCACACAGGTGTTTTGTAAAAACACCTTGCAGTCTGCTCTCTGTCAACTCAAGTATCTAAGAAAATTCACATCTGTATTTTTGAGAAAATACAGTTTTGGGCTTTAAGTTTTGGGCTTTTTTAACACATAAATATTGTATATATTTCATATAATGGTATAAACATACCGTTATATACAATTGCATATATGTATACCACTGTATATTTGTTTTTTAACACATAAAAATTATCTATTTAAGGTGTACAGCTTCATGCTTTGATATATGTATGCATTGTGAAATAATCCCCACAATCCAGCTAGTTAGTATAGCTGTCAAGCACATTTCTGTTTGAAAAATACTGCATATCGTGTTTCTGAGAAAGGACTATTCTAAAGAGGTGGAAGCTATTAGCTTCTCCTGTGATACACTGCCACCTCGATCCTGAATTTAAGTTGATGTGATGCATCTGAGTGAGCTTTTCTCTGACTATAAAAATATTTGCCCACTGTAGAGTATGTAGAAAATAGAAAAAATTCTACAACACCCCTAAACCTCTTGGATCCTACTACAAACAAATAATAATGATCACTGCTAATATCTGGTGTATTTTTTTCCAGCATTTCCTCAATGTATATATCTTTTTTTATATAACTGGTATAATACTCTATAGCCTTCAATTTTTATATACTTCATCTTGTATCTAACAATATTTTGTAATAACCATTTTCTGACAGATTTTAATAAACTTCTTCAAAAACACTATTTTATGGCAGCATAATGTTCCAATGTATAGAAGCAACATAATTATCTATTTCCCTATAGTTAAATGCTTAGGTTATTTCTACTTTTTCTCTACTATACATGGTGCTGGGGTTAAGTATGCAATTATATAAACCATTATCAGTGTCTTTGGGAGCATTATTTCCTTACACTTGATATCAAAATTTTAAAGTAATGGATATTTATTGCCAGTTTGCGCTTTCAGAAAAGTTGAACCAGTTACTGAACATTCCTTTTAGCAATGTAGGAGAGACTCAAATTTTACTTTATAAAAATTAAATACTAATTTTAGAAGAATAAAGGATTATTTTAATTTGTACTTCTTCTATTATTAGTAAAGTGGAAATGTCCTAGTATATGTTTTTTGGTATTGTTTGTCTCTATGAATTATCTGATTATATCATTTCCCCATTTTTCTATTGGTATTTTATTTGCTGATTTATAAGAACTCGCTATACATTAAGGATATTCACTGTTAGGCTGCTGATTTGTTTCAAATTATGACACATTTTTATAATTTGTCACTAACGGTTCAAACAATATCTATTATAAAGAATTTCAAAAATATACTGAAGGACATAATGATTATCCATGATTCTATTAACTAGAGATTGTTGAACACTTTATCTCTTCCTGTGTCTGTAAACATTTAAAAAATAAAACTGGAGTCATTATATTGTGTTCTGTATTTCTGAATCTTGTGACATAAGTATCTCCTCCTGACATTAAATATTCTTTTAAATCATTACTTTCATAGCTATGAGACATTCCCCTGCATAGGTACCCTAATGTATTTAAACCTATTCCCCCTTTTTAACATTATTTAGATTTATTTCCAAGTATCTGCTGTCATGACTAACCTGCAACGGGCAATCTTATACACCTGATACAATTGTGACGCAGTCCACACCCACCTCTCATCCACAGGCTGTCTAACAGCACACACACTCCACGTACCTGTTACTTGAGTAGGTGCTATCACTTGGCTGGCACTTGATGTAGATGCCTCAGGAGCTACTTCCACAGGCACAGGAGGTGATGTTTTTTCAATCACTACTATATGAGGATGGAGGGGAGAAAAAGGAAATTAAAGCCTGTTATGGACAAGAAGATCCCATTTCAAAATGCAAGCATAATTCAGTCTAGTAACATACCACAGTAGGTGCTAGATATTAAGAACGGTTACAGGTTCCTAAACCTCAGAGTATCCACCTACAGCCCCAGTTTCAACATGTAGCAAGAATCTCTGAGAGTAATTCAGAAGCCAAAAAAATGACCCTCCATCAAATGATGACCCTTGATAATGTTCTAATCATATACTACTCCTAACCACAAAAAGTGGTGAAAAACGTCTTTCTTTTGCCAGTATAATACTTATAACGCCAATAGTTATACTAACATTATATGAATCTATTAATATACTTAAGGGAATAATTGTAGTGATTTATTATACTTTAAAACCAAAGACAAAAAAAAAATTCTCATCTTACTCTTAACTGAGAATATGCTTAGGAACGGCACCGACTAACAAAGGCTACCTGGAAACTGCGGATGCAAATGAATAGTTGAAATGCCTGGAGAGAGCTGGGGCTGGCCAGGCTCAAGTTTGGTTTTCTCTTGGTCCAGTGAAGCTATTTCCTGGATGGTTGTATTACAAAGACAAAAAGAGAATTGAAAGTAGGAATTATTTTTAGTTTCCACATTACTATTTTCATTTAATTAATTCTACTCTTAGAAAGGCAATGAATATCATAGACATTAGACAAAAGCCTGTGGAATGATGTGATTTTTTAAAAAAAATATGAACTCTTGCTGTGCCATTACTACGGCAAGCCCTTGAGTTTTTCCTGCCGTATTGATCCATGCACACCCCTTCCCCCATTTCCCCAGAGCCCAACACACATGGTGCCCTTCAAAGGTTTTAAACAAATGCCTTGGCTCAGGGGCCCACACTTGGTCTGGAACAAAACTAGTCCCAGAGGAGAACCCAGTGGTCACCTGGTTCACACGGACCCGGCCCCAGGAAGACGGCCAGCCACACTTTGCAGATTAGATGTTGGATACAGCAGATGTGTCATAACAAAACACACGATGCATTAAAAGACGAGTCTTTTAAGCCCTTTAGCCATTATGGTTTTCCTTAACCTCACATCTAATCACTTGACACCTCCAGCTATGGGACTAGAACAACAGAAAACACGGGGACTTAACGGAGCCCCCAGACTTCCTCTTGTGTCCTGCTGCCCACTCCTGTCCCCTGGACCATAAGCAAAGAAACGGACTGGCACCCATGACTCAGCTTCCAGTACAGCCCCTCAGGGCCCAGGCAGACTGATCGGGCGACCTCACCCACACCAGTGTGGGGCCAGAGAGCTCATATTAAGACTTTATTAGAAGTAGTCACCCAGCTCCTTGGTCACTATTCCCCTGCTCCCTCTCTCTCGCTTTAATTACTGTCATCTTCCAGAAGGCTTAGTGCCCTGGCCTCCATTTCCCTTTTACCCCGTTTCGTAGTTTGAATGATCACCTTTTCTGTTTTTCATCAAATAGATGTCCTGCCTGAGTATCTCATGAAAGGTTCAATTGTGTAGGCATGAGTGCTTATAGGATACCTCCATTTAGATTCCACAAATGCCTTAAATCCAACCCTTCCCACACCATCCAGGCTCTCATTTCAACTTCATTTCTATCAGTGTGACAATCATTAGTCCATCCAGGTTTCAAGTCACTTTTTAGTCTTCCATTTCATTCCTCATTTCAAGCCCTGCCCATTTGCGCTATTCCTTATATTTGTTCATCTTTTTCCATATCCATAGCCCCCACTACTCTGGTCTGGACTCCCTCTCAAATTCTCAGTGTATTCTCGTAATCTAATTGGCCTCTCCAGCATCCTCTTTCTCCCTGTAAATCCTGCTGCAATTATCTTCTAAAAATATGAGCACTTATACTTTCCCCCACATTTTCCCTTCTTCTTAAGGATATAGAGTAACTTTCTATTAGCTATTTAAGATGATTTCGGTCTCAAATACACCCCACTCCCTGCAGCCCATGATCAGTGCCAGCAAGGAGCAGACAGATGTGAATACACTCCCGCAGCTTACAGGCACAATTTCCCCATCAGCCTGGGGCAGTAGACTTCCTGATCAACGCCACTTCTCCACTTTACAGGTAGGGTCCCGTTGAGTAGAGTACTTCCCCTCAGATCACAACTGCAATTCGGTATCCCACGCCTCCCCGAGTTGCTCTTTCTAACCCCGTCTCTCATGCTCCCCTCACTGACTTCTTGCTGTCCTCTCCCATCACACATTCGCGCATATAATTTCCCACCCCCGGACCACCCTGCTTTCTCTTCATCAATCTTTAATATCATGAGGCCCCCGTGAGGAGTCAAGACCACAAAGACTATGGTTGCATTTTTCCCACTGCCTCCTCTCCAAATGAACTGCAGTAAAAGTATACAAGAACATTTTCAGGCCCCCTTTCAGGTTCTTAATGAGAGTTACCATAAACTCAATCATAAACAGAGAAGAACGAAACTGAGATAAGATGAGGCTGTCAGGGAGCTGGCCAGCCCACTCACACGTTAAATGATTCCTCCTACATATCAACTAGAACTAAATTCAAAATCAATGCAATTGCAAACTACTGTATGTCACTGAACTTCAGAGATGCTCAGAGCTGCGAATGTTCATGTAAAATGGGCACATCTGTTGTACTCCTTTTTGGGGTTAATATAACATTCTTCCTTGTTGGATGTTGTCACTCTAAAATCATACTTCCCTTTTTTCTGGATTCTCTCAGCACATAAAACATGTTATTCTATCTCAAATTCATAAAATAAAGATTTTTAAAACTATTTATAATAATTTATATATGTGCCCCATTGAAATTCAAATACTTACTGCATTCTTCTCAACTGAATGAATGACACATAAATGTACAAACATTTAATAATTAGCTAATTTTCAAGTTATTAAAGAATCAAGCCAAGATTCAGACAAGGAGCAATATTACATAAACAGGACTTAGATCCAGAAAATTTCTGTATTTCCTACTAATAAATCTCACAATGCATAGTCCCATTTTATGCCCCAAACCAACAGATTGATAAAAATTTCTCTAAAACTTCTAAGAAGCAATATTCTAGTATTAATTGTAACTTTTCAAGGGTAAGCTCCATTCTTACTCTAATTTAATTCAAACATGTATGTTAAATTTTAGCTAAATTAAGAAGTACATCACTAGTATATATGCACTCCAAGACGACACCATTACATAAACACATCAGAGCCTTTCTTTCCATAGATGGTCCGGGGCATAAGTTGACAGAGTTCTGTTTAAGCCTGATTCCTATTAGCTCTATCATTTTATTCTCTGTGGAATTTAAGTTCCATGAGAACAAGGACTTTTGTCTGATTGGTCTCTATTGTTTTCCTAGCATTCAGAATACTACCAGTCATCTAGTAGGTGCTCACTAAATATTCCGTAAATGAATAATGCTATGTTTCCTTAAACCAAATGATGTATAATAGACGTTACTATATTTAAGTCTTAAAACACACATATTCTAAAAAGAAATCATTGTGAAGATTAAATAAAAAAAAAAAGACTTGCAAACAATAAATAAATTACCTTCTCAGGGGGTGCAGTTGCCACTAAAACCAGAAAAGAAAGGAGGAATTTAGTACAGTTTAAAACAATCTACTATATAATATTTCAATTTTTAAAATGCAATTGAACTCCAGTATCTTTCCAAAAGGATTAAGAATCATACTAAGTCAAATGTAGAATTATGGTCTACTATTTTGGAGAATTTTATACTTGACTGACAGGGAAATACTATCCGTGCTGTGTCATTCCATAATTAAAGGAGATCAAGTAGCAGATAAGAACTTATCTCCGTGTCTCTCATTAACTAAAAAAGTTAAAGGAGGCAACGCTTTCTGGCACATTATTTTATGCCTAATCTCAATTTTGTGGAACTTCCCATATCTTATTGTAGAAATTAAACATTTTCTTTAATTGGTCACATACATATCCTTAACATAATACACAATGGTTGAAATGCTTTCTGATGTCAGTTTAAAAAAAAAAAAGCCACTATTTCAATAAGAGACCTAAGAATGGTGCTACATTCTTGATGTATACTAATTTTTAATGAAGGCCAATGAGCATTATCAGAAAGATATGCTAATGAAATCATGAAAAAAATCACAAGCCAATAAAATCCAATGAGAGATTAGCATCAATAGGGTGAACAAATGAGATATTACACAATCATACACATTGCTGTAGGCCAGTAATGGTAGTGGTTACGCCTTTCTGTTTTGAAAGACTTGCTTTTCATTAATCAGTCCTCAGTATTAGTTCACCTCAAGCCTTAGGTGAACATTCACTGAAATTCTTCTCATGCGTTAACGTCTCCATAAACATTAGTATACAGGTTTGATAGATGCTTTAACTCTTAAAAGCAATCAGGCACCAGATTGCTACCACTGCTGCAATATTCTTGTGATTGGAAAAAGTAAACAAACCTTCTATGCTTCCTAACCCACCACCAACAAGGTCCTGAGGCAGACCCTGGACCAGAGCCAATTTCCTCGTGCTTATGCAGAGGATGAGTAGCTGCAAACACCAGGCCATGACACCCCAACTGGATAGGAGCAGCTGGTCCACGCTGTCAACGCTAGGTGAGGTCCTACCGGCTCTGCCTAACCACGGAAGAAGCACGGCAAGTGACAGAGTGGAATAAAACAGACTAGAACGCAGAAAGCTTCCAAGTCCTGAAAAAAGGTACCTCTACCCGGAAGGAGGCTTCACCAAGCTCCCAACTCTTCACTAACCTGGGCGCCTTCTCTCCTTACAAAATCTATAAATAGGTACCCGGAGTTCTGATCTAAGAATGAAGTGTGAAAAGCCAACAGGAGCTTTGTTAGAGCCATACAAACCTAAGATTTTGGTTCCTTCTATCTGGGGTGAAAATTTTTGTGGTAACGAAGATATTCAAAGTATTAGATATGCTGGTTTATCTACAGAGACAAAGATGGATATAATCTCTCTTTCTGAATGCCAGAGATAGTCAGGGTTCATTGTTTCTAGGCTCCCTTTGGTGTGTAAGGCCTAAGCCACCTTCTTGGGAAAATGTGCCCTTTGGTCCCATCACCTACTCTTTGTATGACATCTGGCAAGTCAGGTCCCCTCTCTAGGTCTCGAGTTTCTCAAATGTAAATCAAAGGACTGTACTAAGTGACCTCTAAGATCCCTTCAATGGACCCTATTTCCCTCCACTTTGCCTCCCATTATCCCTAACTGCCTATTGGGCTCCATTTCATAGAAGCCCAGTTGATGCTTTCACTTTAAGTCTGTGGATTCTACTTTTTAAAGTAAACAAATATTTATTAAATGGCCTTCTAGACACAGAAATGAATTCGGGCTATTCCTTGAGGATCTAAATCACTCTCCAGGCATAGACACCAAGAAAAAGCGGCCCCAAGCAGCAAGATTATGTCCTGAGATCACCACAGTATATTGTTACCGGTTAGGTACATACTGCTCTGAAGCAGTAGTTCTCCATCAGGGTAATCTGTCCCCCACCCAGGGGACATGTGGCAATGTTTGGATGCCTTTTTGTTGCAACAACTGGAAGGGGAAGGTGCTATCAGCACCTAGAGGTGAGAGGCCAGCGGTGTTGCTAAACATCCTGCAATGCACAGAGCAGCGCCCAACATCAAAGAATTACCCACCCCAAAATGTCAATAGGGCCAAGGCGGCAAACCCCTGTTCTAGAAGGGTATAAACAGGGAAAACCAATGCAAAGACACACGAGACAGAAGGCTAGGTCCAGGATCCATTTCCATGCTCACCTTCTGGCTCCGCCACGCCTGGCCCGTGTTCCCGGGAGAAGGTCAGGGCCTCCACTGGCTCTTCCTTGGCTGGGAGAGGTGGAGGATGAGTACTTTTAGCAACAGGTTGAGTGTTCTTTGGCTTGACAAATACAGGTCCTTTACCTACATGGTGATGGATTGGCCTGCGTCTATGAACGCCAGAAACCGTATAACCCATTCCACCAGGACAGATTTCCTTAAAAGCAGCTAGATTTGGGATGGGAAAATATTCCTTTTAAAAATCTAACAGTGCAAACTTATACAGAGGAAAATATCATGATGAGTATCTCTTAATAAATCATCACTAATATAGTTACATTTAAAATCTTCAAAAACAGATGCAAAATGCTTGTATTTCTGTTAAACGTTCATATTTACAGAAAAAAAACCAACCCTCTCTTTTACTAAACATTTTACTATCTGTTAATTCCTTATCCTACACAATCAGAAATATATATATATATATATATATTTATATATATGGCATATATAAGGTCATATATTTTATATATCATATTGTATATATCAGCAAAGAATTAGGAGATATGTTTTATATTTAATATTATATATAGCATTATATATTACATATGTGAAATATGTAATATATATCTCGTGAGTGTATGTATATGTGTAAAGCAAAAATCAGGCTTTTTTCCTCCTGCCTTGGCATATCATTAGTTATAATATTAACAAGAAACTCAGTAACATCTCCCTAAGTTGGAGGACTAGCAAGAAGATTAAAAAAAAAAACAAGAAATCACTATTGAGGGAAATGAGGTGCTGAAATGTTCATTATTCCTTTCTGGTTGAAGAGCCCAAAGGACTCAGCCAGGATGGAGTGTATCAGCTGATAAGGAGAGGTTGCTTAAGAAGGGCTGAAAAGGGGAGGTGTTTTTGAAGAGAGTCTCAGGGTAGTGAGGAGTCCAGCAAATTAAAACATGCTAATGAGAATGATGGATAGAAATCATGATACAAAGGGGCATACCATACCACAATGTACTTATTTTCAAGGAAGGGAATGACAAGTGGGCAAAAGGCTGACCTTGACCAGCTGGTTTAATTATCCAGAGGACAGGGCGTATTCTGTGCCCTGGAACTGCTACCCTCGCCAGAAAGGCGGTTTTGTACAGTGAAAAAAAAAAAAAAAGTAGACTGGGCACATGTGATTGGTTAACCTCCACTGCATAATACTCAGAAATAAGTAAAGGAGAAAAGACAAGGGTGGTAAGGCAGTGTGTGGCCCAGCGAGGAAAATCCACCTAAACCCTGGGTGTTGGTGTTGGAGGCGAGTTGCCCAATGCAGACACCAAGGAGCTTATGGTCTCCTTTTTTATTTCTACTTTTAAAATTGAAAGTAAAATAAGTCATTTCTCACTTCCACTGAACAAGAGGTCTCCTATTGAATGTTCTGGACCTAAAATTAGTTCCTAATAAAAAGGAAACTCTAAAATACTCCTTAAAGCATGCTAAAACATTGTTTTTCTAAGGATCACACATTAAATGGTGGAACCTTACTCTTACAGTTACCTATGAAATATAATGCTTATTTGAAGAATAGATGTTTCCAGAAGGAAACATGGTTTTCTATCAAATAGCTGAAGTATTAATGGACAAAATACTAGTTTTATGAAAATCACATGTAACCACAAATTGGTTAAGTGTAAAAATTTTACTTTTACTATTATTTTCAATGTAACTATTGTATGTTATGAAGGAGTCTCCCTGTGTTACACTCACCATCTTGATTTACGTACCATGTAAGGGTTATGAAGCTATCAAAATTGAACTTCAAGAGAAATGTGTCTATGAATGAGAAAGATCATTTGTTTTTTTATTACTTTTTAATAATGAGTGCATCAGATCCTACAGGAGGATACTGGGGCCTTTTGGAGATGTTCAAAATTATCCAGTTTACCAAAATACTATCAATATTATACTATCCTCTGCCTTACCAGTTCTTTCTGATCCTAATCACCACCAAAGGAGGATCATAATATTTATATGTAAACTGTGTCTGCAGTGTTAAGTTACAGCTTTAAGACTTTAATGGCCCTGTAACAGTTTATACACTTCCCTCAGTGGGAAGCATCTTATCAAACAAGCAACTGAGTAAACTTTTTTATGCCCACTCTGCATCAGTGAAAGTGAGGCCATTCCTTTGATAATATCATGGTGCCCAATATTTACAGGGTATGTTTCTTTCTCTTCCATTTAACTCTGTTTGACCCTGCTTAAGAAGTCGGTGAGTCCTTGGTAAAAGCAAGGCACTCAGATAAATTGAATCTTCAGGGCATTAGGCAATTATGTACCAAATTGAAGGATCAAGAATAATTAACTTCTTAATACTCAGCTCCCTCAGGGAAGTTCGTAGGGACTTTGGCAAGATCCACCCTTGAGTCATTCAAATTCAGTTCATTTCCAGTTGGAGAAATTAAACACAATGTTCATAACACAACCTGACAAGCACATATTCAATAAACGAGTCACTGAGTCAACCTGCACAAGGTCTAGTTAGTGTGCAAGTGGTGAGCGGCCAATCACTCAGAAAGCACATGGCCCAACAGGGGCCTTCTGGTCTCTCGACACTTTTAAAAAGGAGACTTAAAGTCCTAGAAGTGAGGATAAAATGCAATGGCTTTTCTTAACATTCAAAAGGAAGTCTAATGTTACACAGAAATGGGAAAGTCGCTTTGCATGTAATTTTTTCCACTGATTCAACCTTCTCTATTCATGGTTTCTACAGAAGTGACAAAAAAAACACTGTATTATTAGAAACTAAATTTAACGTCAGAAACAACAACAAAAAAATCACTGTAGCTGCCAAAGTTGTCCTGTGTACTTCTGTGGCTGGGGATGAACGTGAGCGTGCGGCTGGGCGTGTCTTACCTGTGCCTGGAAGGGGACATTTCTCACAGTGTGGGCCCCAGGCCTTGCCCACACTACAACAGCAGAGCTGCTTGGTGAGGTGAACAGACAGAGGGTGCATACACTGCCTTCCGGAACTGACAAGTCGGTAACAGGGCCCCTTCTCTTCAGAAATCACAGGGATATCCGCTGAAGCAGAGACACAAGGCCTGACGTCACCCAAGAAACAACAAAAACCAGATCGACTTTTCACATAATAGTCAAACGAACCTTCACGTCTAGATTAGAAACCGTACTTCGGAATGAATCTATCTAGATTTAGGACCAAACCTTTCTTGATTTAGAAGTCAGTTTAACAAATGAGTTTTAGAGTCAGGACACCAAATATCCCATGCAGTACATGCTTCCATTTTAGCAAGCATTAAGTCAGATATAATGGGCATCAGTGAAAAACACAAAACGAAAAACTTTCAACCAAAATCTACCTGTCCAAATAAACCTAGTCACCTATTATCAAAATTACACCTCATTTGTTTTCTTGTATTTAGCCATAATGGCAGTTCTATGGTAGAATCTGGTGAAGAACCAGGTACTATGGAAAATCACAAACTGAACACAGTGATGCTGTCAGCCAGCTATTGCTTTTCTCACTTTGAGCACAGTGAGAGCTTGCAGGGCCTCACCCTAGGCCGGTGAACAGCGCATGGCAGGCAGGGAGTGTCCACATTCCCAATGCCACACAAGGCCTCCTGTCCATCGAGACAGCACCCCAGAGAAGGCACAGATGAAGTATCGACCCCTCAGAAAACATTGCAAAGGCACACCAGCCTGCATTCCTCCAATATCAAAATCCTAATCCTGATCCTTCTACTCTAAAAGTTTAGTAGCTATGATTCATGAATCTAATAGCTAGAACCTCTACTGGGTAGAGAGAAAATATGAGAATAAGTAAGATATACCCCTGCCTTCCAGGAGCTCACTTTCTAATGTAAATGTGGACAGAGCATGTTCTACAGAGCCAGCTCCAGGCCAAGACAAAATTGCTTAGACCACACTTGATGGTCACTTCTCTGTCCTCTACCCTATCACAGCCACAGCTCTTCTCTATATACTGTCCAAATGAGGTTTTCCCAATTTTCCATTCCCATACCCAATTCCTCTAGTACCTGATGCTTCCAAAACTTCCTCTCCTTTCTGCTCAGACCTAAATTTTCATTCTTCCAAAAGGACTAACATCTGAGCTAAATGCTGTTAACAAACAACCTGATTAAATTGAGATGCTATAGCACAGTGAAAAGATCAAGGGTTTTTAGAGCCAGACAGACCTGGGTCCACATGATAGGTCTACCATTTGTAAGCAATATGGACTAAGGGAAATGACTCTGACAGGTTGTGATGGTTAATTTTATGTGTCAACTTGGCTAGGCCATGGTATCCAAATATTTGGTCAGAGATAGGTCTTGCTGCTGCTAGAGAGGTATTTTTTTACATGAAATTAACATTTAAATCAGTAGACTTTGAGTAAAGCAGATTACTCTCCAGAATGTGGGTGGGCCACATCCAAACAGTTGAAGGCCCTTAAAACAAACAAACAAACAAACAAACAAGCAAACTGATCTCCCTGGAGAAGAGAGAATTTTGCCAGTAGACGGCCTTCACACTCAAGGTGCAACATTAACTCTTCCCTTAGTCAACAACCTGCCATTCTACTCTGCAGATGTTGGGCTTGACAGTCTCCATAATCATGTGTGCTAACTCTTTAAAATCTACACACACACACACACACACACCCCTATTGGTCTGTTTCTCTGGCGAAAACCCTGAATAACACACTGGCTAAACTGCACTTGTAAATTGCAGGCTCAATGTACAGATTAGCAATATCATGTTAAACCTTTGGTACCGAATAGACACAAAATGCATGCCACACACTCATTTTGATAATAAAAGTGGACATCTCCATCCTCTCAAGGGTATTTGTACTCAACCTGATCACTGCTTAGCAGAATTTCAACAAAGCGAAGACAGTCAAAATGAGTTCTCATTGGTGAATTGGAGAATGGGGGTTAAGGGGAGTCGAGGAGGCTCTCCTAAGGCTTTAAAACTAACAAAGTCTAACACGGCCAGCTTTGCCTAGTCGTAAAGTGGTAGAAGGGAGAAGTTTGAGTCTTTTCCTTTCCCTTCTCCTACTGACTTTCTGGAGCCTATGCAAGTATGTTAGGAGGGATCAAAAATCACAGAGAAAAAAAAAAAATTAAGAGCAGTGTTATGACTCCCAAAAGGATGTGTCCCTGGAAAGAATGACCCTCACTCATATAGTTTGTGTATTTGTATGAATATGTGTATCTATAGATTGTACCTCTATCATCTTAAGTACATATTTTCCATAGCTTTAGTATAATCAGCTCATAAATGAGTTTGCTCCAAAATTTCCTCTCCAAAGTGTTTGGAGCTCACAACTCGTACTTTCATAGAAACAATGTCAGGTCAACTCACAAGAGCCTATTTTGCACGTAACAGAGCTTAATTTTAATACTGATTACATTCACGTTAGTCCTAGATCCCAGGAATAAGGGCCATTCGGAGCAGAACAGAGCAGGGTTTCCTCAAATCCTCAATGTTGGAAGTGACATCGGACCCCTTCCACTTCTTTCTCCACGCTCATTTCCTTGTATCCACCTCATCCACATATCCAGGGTAGTGATACATCTTAGGCACCATCCCTGTTATACTTAACACTGTTCACTCCTCTATCCACATATTCTAACTTGAAGCCACCTACCATGGCTGTCCCCCAAATTAAATTGCACTGCAAATCAGCAGTTTAGTGTTTTAAGGGATTAATATGTGTGTGCGTGTGCATGTATATTAAGAGATTATCTGCTAATTAAAGTGAGTCTCTGGTTGTTATCTCATGCATTGTGTGTGCACACACACACAAAGTAAAATTTTAGGCATTTTACCATTTGGAGAATAAAAGTAGAAGTCTAGCAAGCTAATTCTTACTAAACATCTTACCCTAAAAGATCTGTTTTATAGACCTTTGTCTTCCCATCATTTCCTAACCCAAATATTCTTCGTAAGTGCTGGGGTACCTGGGGTACTGGTGGTTTTTTCCCATAACAGCTTTCCAAAGCACTTTGAGTGGGGGCATTTTGGGGAGTAAGAGACTCATCGGTTTATATAATCATCAATAGGTTAATTGGTGAGTCTGGGAGCTTCAGACCATGTTCTAACTAAATATTTTGCCTCATCCCAACTGCGCCTAAGAATAAGCAAGTAATAAAAATCTGCTCCTTCAAAGATGGAAGGAAACCAAGAAGGAAGCCATTAAAAGGGTCTAGCTTATGTACCTAAGTTTCATTAATACTCCTATTATTCAAGCTTTCTTTGATCTACAACTATGTGGACAAACAAGTATTGATTTATGCCTCAGATTTCCAACCCGGTGTGTCCTTCAAAACTGCCCCTATTTTAATATCTAAATTACCTGTTATTCTTTTATCATTTTAAATGACTCTCATGGCAATTTCATTTATTTAATTAAACATCTCTAGCATTTTCACATTCTAGACATCATGACACATAAACCCAGGAACAATATACTACCGAGTTATACAAGATCAGTGTTTCTGTTGTCTGAGTATCTTTAACCGCAGATAGAAGACTAGTTCTAAGGAGTAAATCATTAGTATACTAAATATATTATTTAAAATATGGCACACAATTATCCATTCTTTAAGTCATAAGGTTTTATGATATACTTAATAAAAATTAGTATTACTAACGATTTCTAAAGAATAGGAGAAAATGAGTATGAGACAGAATACTGAGGAGCGATAACAAAAGGTGCTGGTAAGTGGCTACACTGAAACAGTGGCTTTGCAGATTGCTGTTGATGGTGGTTTGTTTGTTTTTTTCAGGATGTATTGCTAAGATTAGGGTAAAAAGGTTTAGGTACTCTATACAGAGGGAACATTTCAGAGACATAAAACCTATTGGAAATGACACACCAGTCAGTCAGGAGAACAAATTTTTTGCTCTCGGCTAGAGACACGCGAGTAATCTTCCAAAGAAATAAACCTATAGCTCTGTATCCAAGTATAGTCTTCAATCACCATATATCCAATGCTGATAGCGATTCAACCACAAAACACAGTAAGAAGATAAGATGCTATGGTTCTCTTCTTTCAGTTTCCCAAAGGTGTATTTAACAACTTACACTTAGTTGTAGGGTCATACAATAAATCTGATTATACTTTCAAAGAGATGCTGCTCTCATCAATTCGAATATAAATCGGTATCATTAACCTGGTCTAGAACGCTAAACTTGGAGGCACAAGCCCAGTTTTAAACCTTAAATGTCAGTTACTAGCTGCATGATCTTAAGAAGTGACTGAAACCCTCTTTGCTTCAGTTTCCTAATGTGTAAAAGGGGAATACAACCGTCATAAAGATGCTAGGGAAATTTAAATCAAAAATGATAAATACGACTGGCTTTTAGAAGGAATTGGTCTCTTCATCTCATGACTTCCAAGGTTATGGAAGAAATTCCTAAGCACATCTTCTCTCTAATCCTCTATTTCTGTCAATTAGCACCAAGCCAAGAATACTGTGTAACAGCAAAAGTCCAGGCTCAGAATTCTTTTATCTGGGCCCCTTTTTACTGAACCTATGAATATACCCTGTGCAGTACTCATCCTGGAGCTCTTGAATTCCTGAAGAAAATTAATTGTCAGCAAGTTTTCCTACTCCAGTTGCAAAAGTTAATATACTTTTGTTGGATTTGCTCTGTCAAGTCCTAAAATTTCACCTTTCTCCATAAATAAATAGGGAAGAAGGTCTAGAGAATGCTGCTGCGGCATCCTAAGCCACAGATGGAGAGGTCAGAGGCAGCAAATGCCAGAACCCTCCTACATTCCTTCTTTTAGCTTGTCTAAGTCAAAGACAGAGAGTGGACAAGGAGAGAAAGAGAAATGGCTGCAACCTTTGGCTGGAGTCAAGGAATTCTGAGGTTGCTCACCTCAGTGCATTCAAGAACAGCGAGAGCTTCCCATGGCTCCCTTGCCAAGTGCATTTCTCTGAGTTCACAGTCAGCCACATCTTTTATAGCCTAGATATGTCCTAAATTCATGCTATCTGAACCAGTGTGGTTAGTCTCCCTCCATTTGCTTTGTATGTTCTATCCACAGCTGTTTTTACACCTCTCAAGAACATATATTCCAAACGTTGACGCAATAACAACATTGCGTGCCTTTCTGTGTCTATGTATATGAGTGCGTGTCTTGTATGACCCCATTCTCCTGCTCTTGCCTCTCGACTATCAAGGGTACCACCAACATTTTTTCCCTTAATCTGTAAACATCACCTTCTTCCCTGATTCTTCTCAGCTGTCTTCAGACTTTCCCCATCAATTTCTTCAAAAATATAGTTCACCAGCAAACCAGACTGGATTGAACAAAGTCACAAGTTCTGAAGGAACTCTATATATCTCTGTGATGTTACATGTGGTAAACTCAGAGGAAAGAGAAATCAATCTTCCCACTTGATGCTGGTCCAGAGCCCAAGTTTTAACTTCAAACTCTACACTGGAACATTTAACTAGCAACAAACTTCTCCCAATACTTATCATTTCAGTTGTTGTAGCTGAACCATAAAATTAAATTATTTATTTTTCAAATAAGAATGGATGGTTGTTTAATAAGTTCGGTGTTATTTGGGCAATGACAGGGAAAATAAATGCTAAGGAAATGTGTAAGTGTTTCAAAAATCTTACTGGCAAATTTCAACAATCTTATTAAAACCTGGATGTCTGCCCTAGGCATTAGATCTAGTCAAAGTTTAATAAAACACTTTGCAACCAGTTCTCCAAGTTTACCTAATCTGTAACCTTCAATGTAGTAATTTTAACCAGGCTGCAAAGTCAAATTATTTAAGGAAAAAAAAAATCACAACAAATTCTATATCCAAACTGCAAAATCTTTTATGCTTAAATTATAAAACTAGTTAAAATATTTACTCATGTAATTTAAATCAGCCAGAAATTATCTATAAATTATCTGGATATTGTCAACAGTGGGATTTTTGGCCTGAAAATTTCTAAATTATTGCATCAGTTTTCAAACGTACCTTGTAAGCAAACAATTTTACAATCTAATTATACCACTGGCCACAAAAGATCTATAATTAAGTATCTGCTTCATGAACAGAACTATCTGTGAAATAAGACAGAAAAAGGAACTTACGTGCAAAATTTCCTAGTCTGCATTTGACAGTTTTTAAAGAAAAAATAGTAGTAATTAGTAGCAATGTTCCAAAAGAATCAACAAACTCATCTAAAAGTAATGAATGAGACTGTCATTTTAATTTTACTACACTTGTCTTGACTTCATCAGGTCCATGATCTCAGCTTTGGACACAGCATTAGAGAGAGATGCACAGTTAAAATGAACAACGGTATCTTCATGAAGCATATGTCTTGACCAAATGGCAAGTTTAAAACTGAGGACCAGAAGGATGCCGCTTAACATATACCAAACACACATTAAAAAATAGATAAATAAAAACAAAAACCTTGCAGGACAGAAACTAATACAGAATTGCTCTTAAAATTATCCTAATTTTCTGCCTTGAGTTAGTTTAAAAATGTTTAAGCTTTAATAGTACATGGCTTTGAAAAACCTTCAGGGTTTACCTACCTTGCAATAATGGGCAAACATACCTTAAGAAATAAGATAACCTTTTAAAAATATGCATTTGAGAACTTTATATCTAAAAATGCATCCATTTCTAATCGATTTGTAATGATTACACAAGATTAGATTTTTATGGCGAGAGTCTCTTTGGAGAAACTATATTTTTTGTATCAATATTAGAACACATGGTTTGATGGAGGATTTTTACCCTTACAAGGTATAAGACAAAATCTTAGAGACAACATTTATAAGGCAAAACAGTGTACTTTCAGGGACACATTTTGGTGGTTTTTGAGGCCAACAGATTAGAATATTTGAAATTAGAGCTGAATAGAAAATCTGAAACGTAGAGCCTTGGTAACTATTTCCCATATTCTTCCAACGAAGAAAGGACAGTGAAACCTCATTAAATCAGATACCAGTGACTCAGAATTTGGACTAATTAAAAACTGAAGCTGGGACAAAGTTTAACTCAGTCTAAATAATGCTTCAAATATTCGTGAAGAAAAAACTGTTTTCATCTCTCAGGGATGCTCATTTTAATTAACTCTTTTCCTTGCATCAAAGTACATTTCCTCAGTGTGCTTGTCCTCCACCTTGACTTTCAGCTATGATACTTTTCTGAACACAATAAAAATGCATTTTGGGGAGGGTTTATTTTAGTATATCAGGCCCGCCTCCTCCCTCTTGTCATTTTAATGAGGTTTTCCTACATATTTACAATAGTCAGTTGACCAGTGAGTATTTACCGTCTTCTGGATAACCTACCAAACCACTCGTCTTCCCCACACAACCCCCCAAAAAAACGGATCCAAAGTTGGAATGAAAAATAACCATTACTTACGAACACAAGTTGTGAAGGTGGGATCCGGACCAAATCCCATTTTGCAGGTACATCTATAGCTGCCCATGGTATTCAAACACTCACCATTAGGGCACACACCCTGGAGCTGGCATTCATTAATATCTGCAGGGAAACACAATTCTTTTAGAAGGGGCATTCAAGCCCTGTTGGACAGAATCTGGCTGTAAATTGCATTCACTTTCTTTTTCACCATAATAGTCTCTTGGTTACCGTCACTAAGAGTTGCTAGCAGCTTTTAATGCAGCAGGTGTGAATGAACTCAAATCAAATCAACCATTTATCGAACATCTACAATTTATATAACAAATATGTACCCAGTTCTGTTCTAGATACTAGGGACTTACCAGTGAACAAAACTAACAAAAGATTCCGGCCTTCACAGAGATTACATTTTAGTGTTAGTGTATGTTAAGTATTCTAGAGCATATAGGTAAGGCAAAAGTCTCACTCTGGAGATACTGACAATCTAGTTGTACATGAAACTAGGTTAAAAAAAATTTAAAGAAGTGAAAATCAGTTGAAGCTATCACAATGAGAAGAAAGGCCATAAACTTGAAGTTAAATTAATATGAAATTGTCTGTAGAGACAGGTAGGGGAGACTCCAGCATTGAAAAGGAGGAAAGATTTCATCAGGCGTTGAAGTTGGGGAGACGCTGGATGGATGGGCAGGAAGAGGAGAATGATCTACATGGGTGGACACTGGAGCACAAGCCCAGAGACTGGAGAATAGAAGGGGGAGCAGGAAATTGTGAGTCAAACCACTGGCTAGAAAAGGAAGGTATATATTTGGAAAAGGAGCTGGTTAAAGCCAGGTTGGTTTCGGATTCCATTTTATTGAGAACAGGGAGCTATACTCAAGTTTTCTATGCAGGAGGAAGATATAAGCAAAGGCAGGTTCCAGGGAAATTCATCTGGCCAACACATGGCTTGGTGAGCAGAGATTAAAAGTTTGATCACTGAAGGGGTAATGCAAATATGAGATGGGTGACAAGCCAGGTTGGTGACAATGAGAATAATCAGAAAGAAAAGGAAACATTTTTTTAAAGAACAATTGATAATGAATGTTGTTTGACTGGCCAACACCACATTAGAAAGAAAGAGAAAGGAGTAGAAGATGTTTACTTGGGAGGTTTCTAATCTGAGAAAAGAGGTAAAGACATTGTTGGTTTTATGGAAATTGCTGAGGAGGAAAGAGGCAGATGAAGAGATTTTTATACTTGAAGGTCACACTGGATACCCAAGTATAAATATCTAGCTGCAGCAGCATAAGATTCAGGAAGTGAAAGGAAACCACAGCTGGAACTTGAAACTTAAGGTCATCTGTATATGGTGACTGATATGTGAATTGTTTGTGTCCCCCACAAATCCTTATGTGAAATCCTAAACCTCAAAGCTGACAGTATTAGTAAGTGAGGCCTTTGGGAGGTGCTTAAGTCATGAGGGTTCACCCTCATGAATGGGATTAGTGCCCTTATAATAGAGGCTCCAGAGAGATCCCTAATCTCCACCTCCATCTGAGGACACAAGGGAGAAGCCTGCAACCAGAAAACAGCCCTCACCAGAAGGAGGCTATGCTGCTGCCTTAATCTTGGACTTCCCATCCTCCAGAACTGTGAGAAATAAATATCTGTTGCTTATAAACTAGCCAGTCAGTGGTGGTATTTTTATACCAGCCCAAATGAACAAAGACAGTGATGCAAGGGGAATTCAAAATGATTTGGAAGAAGAGACAGAAAACTATGGTGATTAAAAAAAAAAAAGACTATAGAATCATTTGCAAAGGTAATTAATTAAACATCAAAAACACAATGTGACAATTTAAAAATGGAAAATCAATAGTCATTTGTATTTTATTCAGTGTGGCTTATGAAGCTTAATAGTTAACAGACATGGCTATTAGCATTTCCTCTTCAAATAATATTTATTTCCTTTACTCATTAATTCTAATAAAGCTTTTATTAAGGATCCTAATATTAATTTTCTAAATTAAAATTGAATACAATAGCAGCAAAGCATTACTAGCAGAATTATCACATAAAAAGGGAAATAAACAGCCCTCAATAAATCATTACTTGCTTATAGTTCATATTTTAAGCGGTCATAGATATCTATAAGGCCTTATTTCATCTAACATGTGCAGTTTTTAATCTTAGTGGTAAAATACATTTTGAATGACATACAAATGACAAATTAACACATATATTTGTTACACATATTCAACAGCATTCCAACTTAGATCCACCTGGAAACTGGCACAGCATCTGGTCCAGCACCTGACCATCTTATTCTTTATCAGTGTGTTGGTCTGTAATACACATTTATGCATAGCATGAAATTGAAACTACTCCCTTAGAACTCGTTCTCCTTAAGAAAACCACCATGCAGGACCAGGAAGAGTGCCAACTTCAGTTGGGGCTTACACGGTAGAAGCAGAGCCCCTATCATATGTCCCAAATTAAACCTCAAGTTTGGGTAACGAGCCAGCGTGGTCAAAAAGGCTGGACAAAATCTGCACTCTTTCGTTTCTACTCATGCCCCCACAAAGGTGTAATTATTGGCCTTCCTCTTTTCCTGAGTGGCCTGTACCCCTCCTATTCATTGGCTGCACCACTCCACATTCCATGTTCACCTCTTGGGACCCCAAACTTTCCCCTGCCAGGAGGTTTCTATAACAGAAGCATCCCAGCTTGCTGCTGGCTACCAGGTGAAGGTGGGTTTTTTTTCCAACATATAAGTACCTCGTGCACAACCACTGCCTCTGCCAATGCCCCCTTTTTGACTCTCCTCAACATTGCCCACTGCCTCAACCATGATGCCATGGCAATGGAGGACAGGCATTTTAAAAAAGCACACACACAACTGTGGCTATAGACAGGAAGGAACAGAAAAATACACCAGGAAGGGGAATCACGTAAAGCTTTTTCTTTTCCTATCATCTCTATTCTAATAGGCTTGGGCCACTAGCACTGGCAACACCCAACTCCCCTGGTTTTTGGCCCCAGAAACCCAGAAGCACAGAGCTTTCTTCATGACACATCTCACAGTTCCAGAAAAACTCCCATTCCCTCAACTGCCTCAATTTATTTTTTATCATAGCTTCTAAAATATCATAAATTAGAGATTCATTAAATTTCCAAGTTTTTTCTTTATAAATTTATATTCAGCAAAATATATCAATCTTAAGTACACGGCTAGATGAATTTTCACATATACATGTGTGTATATACATGTGTGTGCACACACGTGCGCATGTGCATGTACTGTGTAACCAACACCCAGACCTTGTTTTAGAGCATTTTTATTGCCTAAATGGCTCCTTTATGCCTCTTCCCAGTCAATATCTCTGCTCCCACAGGTAACTGCTGTTCTGACTTCTTTCATCAATTAGTCTTGCCTGTTGGTGAACTTCACATAAAGGGAATCATATTGTATATATTCTTTTGACTGACTTATTATTATCTGTGAGATTCATCAATGTTGTTGCATACAGCAGTTCATTCTTTTATTGCTGTTATATTTTATGTATGAGGATATGGAAATTAATTTATCCATTCTAATTTTTGGCTCTCATTAACAACATTTCTGTGAACATTCATATATATGTCTTTCAGAAGGTCTAGATCCTCATTACTCTTGGGTCTGTATCTAGGAGTAGGATTTCCGGGTCACTAGAGAAGGCCCAGGTTTACTTTAATAAATAGTGTCCAACAGTTGTCCCAAGTAGCCGTGCCAATTTCCATTCCCTGTACCAATTGCTTTCCATCCTTGTCAAATGACCGTCAGTCTTTTTCGTTTCAGTCCTTTTGGCAGGAGTGCAGTGTTATCTCACTGAGGTTTTAACTTGCACTTCCTTTGCACATGTTTATTAGCCATTGGGATTGAAAAAATACTCTCTTCTCAAATGTTAAGCATCTATAGGAATGTTGTGGGTTGGTAAGATTGCTTCACTTTTAGTACTTAGGGGGGACAAGTTAGTGATTCTCAAAGGGGGAGGGTGTGTGCTTGCCTAGGGGACATTTTGGGTTGTCACCAGTATGGAGAACACACTGTGGATGGACACCGGGGACCTAAACTTTCTACAAGTGTGGTTCGTCTCCTTACCAAAGACATTGTTCTGCCAGAATGGCAATAATGCCCTCAGTGGGAAACTCACACTGAGGTGATGGAATTAGGAGTAAGTGCAAAGGGACCGTTTTGAAGCAAGTTGTCTGAGGAAGGCGATGGGGTGGAAGTGGGTGCTGGGACCTGGGAGGACTTGAAGGGGCTCCTTCACATCACTTATTGTCTATCACTTCTACATCTGGACAGTCCCCTGCTGTCTCTGAGACTGTGCTTTGGTCCTAGAAAAATGGGAGGCTAAGCGAGAAGCAACGCAGAGACTGGGTCCCCCAAATCCCTGAGTCTGGGGCTGTGTGGAAGGGGATTCCCAAGGTCAGAGTCCTAGCACTACCAAGTCTGACCAGGCCCTGACATGACTGATCTGATGTAAACGTGATCTGCTGACTGTTCTGGGGCCTGGGCACCCTGCACTCCTGCTTTGCGTCAGGCAGTTCCCTGGCATCTGCTGCAAATACTAAGGCTCTATGAGAAGGTGGCATTGGTCAAGAAAATCTGAAAACCATTGACTACATATTATTTCTGTGCCAAATCATGTTCCAGGTTTCAACAACTCTTTAAAAAGCATTCCGTTTGTAAAATTTTAATGCCTCATATGCAAAATTTTACATCTAAAAAGTAGATAGGAACTTCTCTCATTTTTTTGCCACTTCATTCTTCCAAACCCCACTTTGGTCCTGAGAGGACTGTGAGAGCACAGACAATTTAGATTCTTTGTGTTAAAACAAACAAACAAACAAAGCAAAAAACCTTATCCCCCATGGTTTTTGGTTTAGAACCTCAGAAAATATGAAACGTAAGCAATTATAGAAATGACTTTCTGAGGTAGCCAAGCTCTTTCAAGACCTTTCTAAATAAACTGAAGGAAATGAGAGATTCACAAATGCATTAAGAACCAAACATTGGTTAACTAAATATGTTATATCTGGATCTGAGAAGTTGAAGGAGTCCACTAAGAGAAGATGCTATCGGGCCAAAATTTAAC